AATAGTTTCCCATTGTAGGTGTATTTCATGTTCCCTCTCCATTTTGCCATATCTTGGGTTAGATTACCCTTAATTGTCTATAAATGGCAATCCTCACTGTTCAATGTTCATTACAATTCCGCTAATCTATTATATAGAATAACAAGTGGCAAACATCTCACTTTATTAATCATCTTAATAATTCTATATATGTCCATGTTTCATATATTTTAACCCATGCTTAGTTGTCCTTCTATTGTCATATTCAATCAATTCACAACTCAATTTAATTATCACGTATAAAAGTGAATCACAAACCTCTGCTTTACAACCTCCCTATATCAGTTTCATATTTATCCATATTCCATATATTTTAACCTTTGTTTAGCTATCTTTCCATTATTATATTCAACCAGTTAACAACTCCATTTTATTGTCATATTTAGGAATAAAGCCCTTATCTTATCTTTATATTTTCCCATATAACAGTTTCTAGTTGTCTGATTTTTTCCTAGTAAGTCTTTTGTACTAGACCCTACTTTAATGAGATACAAGGAGGATGATAATAATGATGGTGATGATTATGAGTATTATTCTTGCAGGGCAAATGGAGCAAGTAACTTGCAGTTATTTCCTTGCATCCCCTACACATATTTGCTCAGTACACATTGCCTTAACTTTGCATATGTGTGGTTTGTGATACTCTTTTGCATGGGTGTAGCCTTAAATTAAGCATTGATAGCTTGAGTGAGATTGTTCTAGCTGTAAAGATAGGAGAATGAAGATTTTCACCCCTCTCACTTTGCTTTGGTAACTGAATAGTCTTCGGTTGGAAGCAGTAATGGGAACATGCCCACTTCTCTGTTCTATAAAATATAAAACCTACCTCTTCCTAAGAAATAACATTGCTTGAGCTGTCTGCTGTGCCTCCTATACACTGGAAGAAGCAAGATAATATCCATAATACATATTTGATTAGAGTTCAGTTTGTGTTTCAATACAGTAAGCATTATGTCACCAACATCTGACAAAGAGACAGCAGTACTGATCCCGAGTCTAGTAATGTTTCACATTCCAGGAGCATAGAGTGATTATAATCACTGAGAGAGAATGATTTTTGACAGAATGAAAAAAAAATGTAGAAGGAAGAAGTGCTTGTACTCGCCATGATTTTTTTTTTACCCAGCAAAAAAGCAACAGCTCGCTACTAGATTAAAAGGTTTTTACCCAAACAAGAAACAGAAGGAAATCAGGCCTCCCAGCTGAAAGAAAAAAGCCGGCTTCTAGCCTTTTAGGTTAAAAATGCAGGTGTTAGATGTTTAAAGAAATTTGAACATGGACAACTGGTAGCAAAAAATGTGTTGACATTTGAAACATAGCAGTTGCTGGAATTCTGTGATAACGGCTTATCAATTGAACAGAATCTTCATTTTCTAAGGAATTTGGAATACAACCTTGAAGGTACTTCAGTGTTGTATTACTGGCTTTGGATAGCCTATCCTCAAAGGAATATCTTTTTATTGAAAGTCCTAGAGTATGAAAAGAGCCAGTCTGGTGAAATGTTTAAAGGCACTGAGGTAGAAACCAGGAGGCTATGAGTTCTAAACCTCCCTTAGAGACAGAGCTGGGTACCTTTGATTCAGCCATTCTGTTTCAGCCCCAAGAAGAATGCAAGGAGAAAATACATCTTTAATTATTGCCAAGAAAACTGCATGGACCTGTCCCCTGGAGTCAAGACTGACGCAGAGATATTTTTTATTAAAAAAAAAAAAGATTTCAAAACATGTGAGTACTTTCTAATGAAGAAAAATAGTTCTGTGAAAGAGTACCTTTCTGTGATTTTTAAATTGCCTTTCCTATCTATATATCTTTTTTGTACATGTATCAAATTCTAATTAGTAATATGTTACCTAACTAAAACTGAACAACTATGAGGCATTTAGGATAAAGAAGCTAACAATATTTATTTCACATTAATAAAAGAATTGGAGTGACACTGTCCTTGAGATTTCTCATTCCAAAATATTGTGCATATTTTAATAAATATATCCATATAATGTGCATTTGCATTAATATATCTCCTATCCTGGAAGAATAGTTTAATAAAGAAAATCTTTTCCCCCTCTGAGAACAGCTTTTAAAAGTTTTTCTATAGTAAATGCATCCCCTTTATATAACATTAGGTAATTCATCAGCAAGAATGATTTTAAATTCCATTTTGTCTTTGCTGTAAAATGCTACACATAAATCTTAATTTTCCATAATTTCAAAATGTCTATGTTATTTTTTATGTTTCTCGTTGATACATCTTTTTAAAAACAGGGAGTGAGATATTATTGATATAAGATTTTAAACAAAATTTGTTTCATTTCCCTCCCCAAGATACCACCAGTCTTCTTTAAATGTATTTCTTGTAAGAATGCCATTTCTATCTTTTCTTAGTTAAAAGTGTTGCCAGAGATGCTGTCAGTGTAGTGCAAAAAATGGCAAGCCCAGCCATTTGCTATCTTTGGAAAGCAAAATGAGATATCCAACTAGGACATCAAATGACTGCAGTATAATCACTATTCTCATTTTAATTACAAAATGCAGAGCTGGAAAATGATTCACTAATATCTAATGCTTCATACTGCACCACTAGCAGTATTGTGTGTGTACACAGTGAAGTCTTGTTCTTGGTAGAACTACTGGACATGAATGCAGAAATATATCAAGACTCTGCTCGCATAGTGGGGCTTTCCTGTTCTTTCGCTCCACTGCAGCCCATGAAAAATAGAGAATGAAAGTCAAGAATGCTGTGGACATAGTATACTTGGCCTTCAGTAAAACATTTTGCATAGGTATAGTATATGTGATACCTTGCTCAATAGTAATAACTGTGAAAGGGATCTTGGAGTCCTACTGGACAATCATTTAAATAGAAGCCAGCAGTGTGCAGCAGCTGCCAAAAAAGCCAACACAGTTCCAGGCTGCATAAACAGAGGGATAGAATCAAGATTATGTGGTATTAATACTACTTTACAATGCCTTGGTAAGGCCACACTTGGAATACTGCATCCAGTTTTGGTCGCCACGGTGCAAAAAAGATGTGGAGACTCTAGAAAGAATGCATAGAAGAGCAACAAAGATGATTAGAGGACTGAAGACTAAAACATATACAGAACGATTGCTGGAACTGGGTATGTCTAGTTTGATGAAAAGAGGGACTAGGGGAGACATGATAACAGTGTTCCAATATCTCAGGGGCTGCCACAAAAAAGAGGAGTCAAGCTATTCTCCAAAGCACCTGAAGGCAGGACAAGAAGCAATGGGTGGAAACTAATCAAGGAGAGAAGCAATTTAGAACTACAGATAAATTTCCTGACAGTTAGAACAATTAATCAATAGAACAACTTGCCTCCAGAAGTTGTGAATGCTCCAACACTGGAAGTTTTAAAAAAGAGATTG